CACTGGAGGATTCTAGGCAGGGGCTCTACCACTGAGCCACACCCCCAGCCCTTCACTGGAGGATTCTAGGCAGGGGCTCTACCACTGAGCCACACCCCAGCCCCTCACTGGGGGGTTCTAGGCAGGGGCTCTACCACTGAGCCACACCCCAGCCCCTCACTGGGGGGTTCTAGGCAGGGTCTCCTCCACTGTTCTGCAGTCCCCACCCGTGAGTGGGTCATTCAAGCCTCTTACCTGGATCCTTTGTGGAGGTGAATTGTTTGAGCTTTTCTCCATTTTGGGCTGAGATACTATGATTCAGGGACTCCAAGGAGCACTAACATCTTTGGTCCCATTCACCTGGACCCTGAGATGGCTCTTTTTCCCATATTGGACACCTACATCCGTCACATGGCTAAGCTCCCGGCACTGACCTCACCCCACCCCACAGGTCACCCCTTCATCATGACGGTGGGCTGTGTGGCCGGTGATGAGGAGTCCTACACGGTCTTCAAGGACCTGTTTGACCCCATCATCCAGGACCGCCATGGCGGCTACAAACCTACAGACAAGCATAAGACCGACCTCAACCACGAGAACCTCAAGGTCAGTGACCCCCAAGAAGTGGGGGGGCAGGCACAGAGGTGGGGAAGACAAATACAGACAGAGGGAGGGCCGGAGAGATATGCACACCCCCAGGAAATGGGACCCCAGGATCCTGAGGGTAGGAGGGGGTGGTGGGCAGTGAGGCTGGGTGGGGCGCAGGAAGGAGCTCAGAGCCAACTTGGGGACCTGGAAGAGTCTAGGGGAGGTCCAAGGGGCCCTGGGGAGACCCAGGAGGAAGTGGGGAGATCCGGGAGGACATGGGGAACACCCGGGAGGGCTGGGGACACCCTGGAAGGTTTGCAGTGAGACTCAGAGCACCTGGAGTGAGAGCCCCACCCACGGGATTCTTGAGACCAGGGCTGGCCAGGTCTGCCTTCCCTGACACCCCATCGCTCCCCAGGGCGGCGACGACCTGGACCCCAACTACGTGCTGAGCAGCCGCGTACGCACTGGCCGCAGCATCAAGGGCTACACGCTGCCCCCGCACTGCTCCCGTGGAGAGCGCCGCGCCGTGGAGAAGCTCTCCGTGGAAGGTGAGGTCCCCAACAGCTGCACCCGGTTCCGGTTCCGGTTCCGCTAGAGCTGGCTTCGGCACTAGGAGGCTGGCTGCATTACCCGTGCTCCGGGTTTGGGGGCATCTCACTGAGGCGGCCGGGGAAGTCCTGCACTCAGCTACCCCGGAGTCTTCATACTCATTGTTCACGCATCACTCATTCACTCATTTACTTGATGATTCATTAATTCAGCAAACATTGTTGCAGCTGAGATTTCTCAAAATGGGTGAGGCGACAAAACCGGGAATCTGGCAAGTGTGGCGGAGAACCCACAGAGGGTTGCTCCTGTTAGCTGGCCTGGGCTTGGCACCCTACTGAGGCTGGAGGATCAACGCGAATTGAAGGCCAGCTTGGATTCATAGTGAGACTCTGCCTCAAAAACAAGAAATCGCCAGGCAGTGGTGGCGCACGCCTTTAATCCCAGCACTCAGGAGGCAGAGGCAGACGGATCTCTGTGAGTTGGAGGCCAGCCTGGTCTACAGAGCGAGATCCAGGACAGGCTCCAAGGCTACACAGAAAAACCCTGTTTTGAAAAACAAACAAACAAACAAAAAAGAAAGAAAGAAAAGAAAAAAAAAAGAAAGAAAGTAATCTGTGCAGGCCAGGTGGTGGTGGCACACACTTTTGATCCCAGCACTCTGGGAGGCAGAGGCAGGTGGATCTCTGTGAGTTCAAGGCCACCCTGGGCTACAGAGTGAGATCCAGGACAGCCAGGGCTGTTACATAAAGGAACCCTGTCTCAAAAAACAAAACAAAACAAAACAAAAAAAAAAGAAAGGAAGGAAGGAAGGAAGAAAAGAAAAAAAAACAAACCCAAAATCAAATGTTTATAGTAGTCACTGTAAATTTCTCTTTCTCTTGTCTAATTGAGACAGAGATTCCCAGTGTAGCCCTGGCTGGCCTCCAACTAGTGAACCTCCCGCCTCAGCCTCTCAGATGCTAGGATTACAAGTGTGTGCCCTTAGCTGGCACAAGGTATAAATTCTACAATGGCTTTTTTTTTTTTTTTTTTT